TTCATAATATTCTAATGCTTTATCGTATTCACCTTTTCTGTTGTAAACTGATCCAATATTAGTATATATAGTTGCAAATGATGGGTGACATGGTAGTAAGGAGTTCATCTGAATTTCTAGTGCTTTTTCATAATATTCTAATGCGTTATCGTATTCACCTTTTTCACTGTGAACTATCCCTATACTGTTATAAGGTGTTGGAATAAGCGATCGTGGGAGTTGATTATTTTGAATTGGTGGTGTGAAATATTGGCGAGCATGGTCGTACTTGCCGATATACAGCATAAGTTGACCTAGAGCGTGCATATTGAACGTTTCACCCAGTTCGTCGTGAAAGCGTTCTCTCAAGTGTTTGAGCTGTTCATCTTCTTTGTTAGTCATTGTGAGACTTACTTTACAAGCGCCGTTGTCGAAGTTTTGAATTGATTCAATTCGAAATACACATGCAATAGTGAAGAGAACTTCTTCTTCTTCAGGGAAATTGCTTAAATGTTTTATATTACAATACGGTTTTGTGTGTCGGGTATTGTCGACATTTATTTCGAAAAGAACAGATTGAATATCTGATCGATTTGGAAGGAACTTTAACGCTAGTTTTGGGTTGGTAGTAGTTGACATAAATTGATTGAATGATAAAAGTCCTCCAAGATTATTTTTTATGTTTTCCAGCTCATCGGCGCTTATAGATTGACCACGATACACGGTCAATCGTGTTTGTTCAATGTTGGTATCGTTTGTTAGTAATGATTGAACAAACTCGGAATGTAATTGTTTTATTTGACTATGAAGATCTGTCAACATGAAACGATATTTAAATAGAATGTCAATGTCTGGGATTCGAAGTGCTTTATTCAATATTTTATATATAAAGCAATGTGTTGTGTACCACCATATTGCTTTGCTTGGACTATATGTCTTATCAAACGTATCAATGTGTTTTAAAACGCTGTCATTATCATGATATTGCAATCGACAGTGATCAATCATATTTGTTTTTGCATCATCTTCATGTTCCATTCCAATCAGGATTTCCATTAGCAATTGAAAGTACATAAAT